GTTTTTATGCTTCTGTAAATACACCATTCAACATGAAGGAAGGAAGACCTGCAATGTTTATGCTCTTGCACCCTATATGCCGGAATTTCGTCTGAACAATTGAAATTATTAATTCTGTAATCTTCATTGAGTCGATATTTAATATTTTGGGAGTCTATGCTGGTCACTCTAGTTGCCTCAACATGAGTTTTTGAATGAATCTGATTGATACAAAAATCTCCAGTGAAAAGCTATTAAAAAGCAGTAGTTATTTCCTTGAAAAGAACAATGAAGCAAAACAACTCTGCTCTGGTAGATCAACCAGTGTGTTCACATTGATAAATGAATATGTTGAAGCTGGAGAACAGACAACAAATTGTAAAGGCCAGAATGAAAGACGTCACCTTCCAACCTTTAGAGTTTAGAAGGCAGAGAACCAGGAATATAGTAACAGTATTCTCAAACATCTGTTTAAATATCACCCAAATGCTTTCTGCTCGCTCTCCTTATTCCTGAATTAAAAAAATACTTTGTTCATGAAAACTCTTGTGCAAGGAGATTACCTGGGGAGTGCTGTTGTGAAAATGAATTTACCAGAAAATTCATTGGTGACCAGGGAAGAAATACATGGAGAAGGGTAATAAGTACTTTAAACAAGGAAATTTTGATGAAGCAATAAAATGCTATACTCGAGGGATGCATTCTGATCCGTTCAACACAATATTGCCCACAAACAGAGCATCTGCCTTTTACAGAATGAAAAAGTAAGATACATATTGTTAAATCTTTAATATTTTCTTTTTATGAAATACTGCATTGCTTCAGATTTAGGTTTGTCTTTGTCTTGATTATCTTATTAATAATCATGCTGTAATAGGAAGGTGTATCTAGGTAATGGCCACAAACTAAAGCACCAAAAGTTCCACAGGAACTTAAGGAAAAAAAAATTAACAATGAGGGTGACAGAGCACTATGAGTCTATGATGGATACCACACAAACACACTGTTCCTATAGCAATGTTCATGCTGATACATGTGTGTATAAAGATCCAAGTACAGGGGGACTCACTCTGGGCATCACGGAAAGCTTCATCTCACCAATGAAAGAGCAGGAACAAGCCCACGGGAAGTAAATGGCCAACACACCATATATTTTAGGAATTACTTATTCAGTAAGAATTCAGTAGGGACTGAAACAAGTCACAGGAAATAGTTTGTAAGAAATCTAACATCTGAAGAAAACTGTCCAGAACTAACCAAATAATAAACGTATTCATAAGAATCCAAGTATTCCTATAACAATTCACAGGAATCAATACATGTATGGAAATAATTGTTTGCCTTGAACAGTTAGGACATCTTTGCCAGAGTATGCAAACTAGTACAGACTGTCATGAAGTTACTCTAACAAGGGCAAGTAAACAAATTCACATGCAAAGAAAGACAGGTGGGAACAAAATCACAAGAAGGAACACATTAAAATATATTGCTGAAATAACTTCTCTATTCCTTCTTGAGGATTCTCCATACTTTATCTTTTAATGGAAAGAAATGATGTAAGTACTCACACAGATTAAATCTAAGCATGTGCCTTACTGTATCAAGGCCATCATCCCAATATAAACTATAAGTTACAGCATAATCCTCTAGGCTTCTTTTCTGGGGCATCATTGTTCTCTGAAATTCCCGGTAATCAAGAACACAAAATATGATGTTCTGAGCACCTGACACATGAAACAAAATGTTGGATATTTTGAATTTCTTAGTTAAAAACATCTCATATTTATATCTATCCTGAATACAAAAAATTGAATTGATTGTCAGACAAGTTTTCACTGATCTACTGGTAATGTTACTGGTAATGTTAATGTGTCCTTTAAAAGTGTTCAGCTCCAATGCTCAAAGAAATTTTAATCTCAGTGAGGTAAAATCCTAATCAGAGACCATAAACAAATTATTATTACTATTATGCAAAATTTTGTCCCATCTTCAGAAAGTATATTTGTTTGGCAACTCTCCTCACTGTTCAAATTTATCCATAGATATAAACTCACCAAATAATGAAGAAAGGTAGGGGCACATTCTGACAGCAGAAAATGCATGAAGTTAGTTTTAAAGTTTATGCAATACAAGGAACTGTACTTTGCATCTTATTTTCCTGTGTGCCTCACCACAATGATGTTCCTCATAGCAACGTTGTTTTTAAGACAGCCAGCTTAGTAGAAGGCTATTTTAAACACTGTTGGACAAAGCTACTTATCGTAGTCATCGGGGGTGGGAGGAAGTTGTAGCCATGTGCACAGTGTAAGACCTGACACAAGGCAAGACGTCTTTCTTGATTAGGCATCGCTTAGATCTGTGTGTGCTAAATGGTCTTTCCTTGGCACTGGTCATCAGCATCTCCACAGGAACCATTACCATTCCCAGGTCACCACAACAGCACAACAGCACAACAGCAAAGGAATCAGGAACCCTCAAACACTGGTGCTGACTGGTACCTTTGAAGAACAGCACTTATACCTCAGCCTGTAGAAAACATCCAGACATCCCTCTGGGAAGCATTTCCAGCATTAGCAATATATAAACATACATATATACACATATAAACCACTAAAGGTTGCCCATTAAATCCCTCCATGAGAGGGTAAAGAAGTGGACCTAGTTACTGTGGGCAGGAGTGCTCACACTGAAGTCTGCAGAGCAGTTTGATCCAAGCCAGATGACTTGGTTCTGAAACTACTGACAAGTGCTTGTGTGTCCAGCAGCTCTTCTAGGGGAGGGACTGCAATTTCCAGCAAAAGGCAGTAACAGAAAGCAAAGGGAAAGTAAATTTTCAAATGCTGAAGGTCTTTCCTTCAATGTCTATCAGCATATGCATGGTTACTGAAGGCAGCCTGCAGATTTCAGAGAGCTGAGACAAGCCGGTATCAAAAAACACTTTGACTAATATCTGTTCTCTGAGTTAATCTGTGTATTCTAACCAGCAAAATTGCATTCATTTGTATTTGATTCTCTGTGTGAGAGAGGAAATATTCTTTTTTAAGTTCTGGCAAGGTCAGAGAGCTCTACATTCAACAGCACAGAATGTGCATTAAAAAGATGAATATTTTCAAATAACAACCACATTGCTGTTTCCTCATTGCTTATGCCTGTTTAGAGAGTGTGACAAGTTCTGGAATTTCTGCAGGGCATTGCATAGTAATCCACAAAGCTACTACAAACAAGCTGAGGAGGAATTTTTGGCGTAGCCACTCCCGACCTGACTGAATAAAAGCTGGTTTGCTTACACATCATATGCAGTCTGTGCTGTTCAATACCATGTTGCAAAAAGACAGGTCTTTCAACTTCATTTTGCTGGCTGTCAAACCCTTTGACTCGTGTTTCAAGGAAGATGCTATATGCAATAGGGTCATGTGTAGAGGGAAGATTTCACATAATTCCCAGCATCAACATCATCACAACATCTGAGGCAGTCAGCACAGATGGGATGGGAGAAACAAAGTTGACTTTAATATGACACATTTTGCAGAAATGCTAGAAAAAAAAATGTTCAGAGAAGACTTGATTTACTCCATCCATATGATTATAATTGAAGAAATGCAGGTTAATCTCTAACCTAACAGATCACTGAACTGGGAGGGAGCAGGTGAATTCAACATGACTCTTTAGGGAAAAGATGGGAGATAAATTCTTCTCTGCTTGTTTTCAATTCCTGGCAAGCAAAAAAAAAGAAAAAATGTAGACAGGATTTATAGATGGAACAATATTAAAATGGAAATGTGGTGATCTGTAAGTTCAAAATTTATATCCTTCTAATTTTAATTACTTCTGTGATGAGCAGTGAGGAAGGTAGCAGTATGTAAGAATCACATCCAAGTACACTAAAATCCTGACTTTGCCTTCGCTGGGAAAATGTCAGCATTGAATTGGCTGAAAAAGGAATTGCAAATGGCATTAAATTGCTAAGGAACAGGGTCTAAGTTGATTACACCAACCATACAACATGGAGAAATTATTCAAAACTGAAGCTGGATCGTCATCCTGGTCCACCAGGAGAGAGGATTGACTTAGTGCTGAAACTTTCCTGTGATCTGTATGATAGGGTAAGTTTGGATAGGATGCTAATGGCCATATTAAGGGCAGCAAAAGAGGGGTTCTCCCAGCAATTTTCCCTTCTGGATACTTGCCCAGGGTGAACAATTCACAGTATGGACAATTAAGGGCCGCTACTAAAGCCCATATCCTAGCTATATTTTGTTTAGTATTGATGAGGTGTCCAGGTCAATTTTATTTTTTTAATTCAAACATGCCTCTGTTCCTGTTAAGTCCACTGGAAGCAGTCCATCTGCAGCCAGAGCCCAGCACCAGGGGCCAACGGTCCCACAGGGGCTCCATACACTGCCCCATGCTTCTCAAGAACCATCCTGAGATGCCCTAAGACCTGTATTATCAGGTCTTCCATCCCCATTTTCCCCTGGATAATAAAAAGCTAACAGGTTATGTCCTATAACAGCAAGGAAAAAAGGCAAAAGCTTAGGAAAAAAAGTAAAAGCTTACGAAAAAGACTGCCAATCCAAAACTATAGTGGCACATACAAAATTTTGATTTACACTGTCGGCTTTCTTTGGAGGACTTTTATTTGGTACAGTTTCTTTGTCCTTCTCTTACACATTAAATGATTTAGGGCCTTATCCTGAAGTTTTTATGCCTTTGCTTATTTTCCGCGTCCGCTCCTGAGATAAGGTGCAATATACATGTAGATCCTGCAGATCTAAGGTCTAAGTGACCGTTTCCGTCTCCTTGTTTGTAATGTATTGATTATCTCTTTGCACTTTTGCCTTATTTTCCTGGCAAAACCTTTCAAAGCCAAAGGAAATAAAGCAATACTTCCCTCTGCTGGAAGTCTTTGGAGTTCTGGAAATAAATCTGAAATGCAACATTTTTATGAGCTACTTTTACTGTATTTTGCTGAAGACAGACAACAGCAGCAGGGAAAAAAGATGAAGGGGGAGGAGTCAAGGGTTTTTTCAGGGAGAAGGGCAGGGGTAGGTGTTATTTCCCATGGATTATAGCTTTGGAGAGCTCATGTAATTCAGGGGGATTTTTTCTCCAAATTTTAGTCATTGTGTCATGTTTATTATGTTCGTTATTAATGCATTTCTGAAAACTCTCATGCTACCCAGGCCTTATGTCCAGATGTTTAAAGTTTCACTGTGCATGCAATTTTCTGAATCTGCTGCATGGTTATTTTACAGATTTTCTCAAGCTACTATTGCATGGTTTCATCCATGACTCTTGTGAAAGGTTTGAAAAAATCACACCAGTGAACATCTTTGAAGTTCCCATCGGAGGAGTGAATCAGTTGCTGGCAGGAGAAGGCTCTGGTGAACATGGAAAATTTCAGTTCTAATTTATAAATCTTGTTGAGAAGGTTGTTCCACAAGACTGGAAAAGGTAATTCCCTCTGTAGTTATGGGAGCCATGAGATTTCTAGCTTTCTTTGTAAATCAAGATAATGTAAAACAAGGTCAAGCATTCCACACCAGCTGTCCCATTCCTGATTTTCAGGCATCATCTACTGGCAGCTGTGCGTAAGCTTTTCTATAGATAGAGGGATTTCCACTGGTTGGAGAGGCCAACAGGGAAATATGATAATAGAGGAAACTTATACTGAGCAATTCCCAGATTGCTTACACTGAGTATTCCCAGTTTTGTTTCTCTTAGACCTGCCATGTCGCCTTCCAATATCTCATAGAGTTCTGCAGTATAAGTATTACCTTGCATACCTTCTAGTTATGCATAACTTCTTACTTCTATAATCAAGTTAGGACCACAAAAGTAAGTCAAATCAACTGGATTATCATCCATACAAACATATTTTCATATGAAGTCTGAAGTGTCCTGACTTGCTCTTTAGCTGATGAGGTATCAGTATCTAACACCTCTTTAACTGGTGAGGTAACAGATGAGCTATTTGGGCCCGTAGTAAACGTTACCATCTCTGGGCTGGAACACAAAACTAAGCAAGAGCAGAACTACAGGTTGGGAAACAGCCAGAAGATACCTTTTTCAATAGGAACCAACATAACTCTAGGTAAGAACTTTGTGGTCAAATCCTGGGACCTTCTTTGGTGCACATCCAGTTCTTGCTGAAGGAAAGCTTGTACCGACTCAGTAATAACTCCCAAGGGCAGCAGCTCTAATCCAATGCTCACACTTTGCCAGGGCTTTGGAATTAACACCTGCCACTTTGGAAAAGGCACCATGGAATCCCTTGGAGGCTAAAAGAGGTCAGATGGCCCTCCCTTCCACACTGTAAGGTCCCCTTAAGTCACTGGGTTAGCAAGTTGTCTAAAAAGCTGAAAGGTGGTAATACAACTTTATTCATGGCTTTGTCCTAGTTGTCGGAAGAGTCTTTTTGTCCTTTTTGCTCATTTAAGACTGCTGATCTGTTTTACAATGGATCTCAGATACCGTGTTTCTTTCCTGCATCCAGGAAAGTATTTGCCTGGAGTCTGAGAAGGAAGAAAAATGCGCTGTTGCTAAAAATGACCATACCGTCACTTCAGGCAGGTCATGAGATAATCTTTACACCAGCAGCTAAGCAGTCATGCTTAGCTAGCTCTGTTCAATGAAATCAGGTTGCATGTATGAGTAACTACTTACTCAGACTCACACAGAATTCAAAATCTAGTCATTTAAAGTCAGAATCAGATAGGAGAATACCATAGTAGATCACAAGACCTAAATCACATTGCAAGAGAGGACTTTGTGTTCTCAATTAATCAAAGCAGTGGGACCTCAGGTCTTGGCATTTTGTGTCAAGCATAAAAAGGGCCTTTTTTTTTTTTTTTTTTTTTGGTAAGAAAACAGCACACTAACCTCCCAGAAACAACATAGCTGGAAAGAATAGAGCTGGAGAGATTGCCTTTTAGGGCAAATCTCTCAGCCATTCACTGATTTATTATTAACATTCTTACTGCTGTTGTGCTAAAAGGCTCCAGCCAGCTTGGTTTCCACTAGGCTAAGCGCCACACTGATGACTTTATCTACAGCTCAGGCTCAAGTTCAGCTTGTATTCAAAGCTCTGGATCATCAGCACTGCATCCAGTGGAAAAATAACTGCTGGTCCCCTAGACTGGGAAACTGTAGTAGAGGAGGAGACATTTCCAGATCAGGTCTGTCCTGATAGCTCAACACCCTTG